CGCGACTACACGATGTCGATGAAGGAGTGGTGCGAGTACTACAACAACCCGCAAAGGGATCGCCTCCTGAACGTCATATCACTGGAGTTCTCGCACACGAAGCTCGAGCAACACGTGGACTCGCCTTATATTGTCAAACAAGTCGATTGGATCGATTGGGTAGGCATTCCTCCACATCTGGTGGACAGTTGCCATTCATTAGACACTCATGTGATGCGGTCTTATGATTGAAGGTATGGCCCAAACACCTGAAACAATCGCAAACCGAAGGCACGAATATCATCGAAGACATGAAGTACCCGAAAGTGCAGAAGTATTGCTTGATGTCTGTGAAGGGCTGTTACACCGACTTCCACATCGACTTCGGCGGCACATCCGTGTGGTATCACATCCTGAAGGGGCGTAAAGTGTTTTGGTTGATCCGTCCGACCGAACGCAACATCAAACTCTACGAAGACTGGGTTCTGTCCGGCAAGCAGTCGGACGTGTTCTTCGGCGATCAGGTGGACGAGTGCGCGCGCGTCCACTTGGAGGCCGGCAACACGTTCTTCATACCCACGGGTTGGATACACGCCGTCTACACACCCGACGACTCACTCGTCTTTGGGGGCAATTTCTTGCACTCGTTTAGCATTGAGAAGCAGTTACGGGTGGCACAGGTCGAGGACATTACCAAAGTGCCCAACAAGTTCAGGTACCCCTTCTATACGGAGGTGCTCTGGTATGTGTTGGCCCGGTATGTGTTTTGTCTGACGAATAAGAATCACTTGAAGTGCAATGAAGACGGTGTGACTATCGTTAGAGACAATAAAGACAATGAGAACAGTGGTAAGAGTCGAGTGATTCTTATGTTTTATAAATTTTAACATAAATTATATTTTGTTTTCTAAGACACGAAAAGTCCTCAAAAGCCTTCTATTGATGCAAACGTACCGCCAAAGGAATCATTGATTAGTTCTCATCCAAGTTTACCGGACAAACCCAAACCCAATGTATACTTAACCAGATTTGAGTTGTCAGGCCTTAAGGCAATCATCATGTGGTTGGAGAAACTGCCGCCGACTAAGCGTTCAGTTCCTGATCTCATAGTATCGGAGGAATCACTTCTGAGTGACGCCCGCATACTAATCGACGATCACATCAAAGACATTGAGAGCCCTGAGTTAGCCGTTACTAACCGTCCGGTGCTGTTCTGGACCAAGAAGTCGGTCGCCTCACAGTTGAGACAAATTAAGAATCCGACGCTTGTGTTGAAGCAAATGCGGTTCAAAGAGGCGGCGATGGCCTCCACCGCATCCACCCCTCGGCCAGAGTCACCTCCCACTCGACCCATCAGTTCAAACCAATACACCATTAGCTCCGGTTCCACATTGAATCAGGTTTTACTCAATATTTCACTTAATTGTAATGCATTTGAAACTAACTGTTTGTTTGTCTTAGGATTTAATTCCGAGTTCTTTCGCGGGTCTCATCGCACAGACGGGTGTTAATCACTTCCAGTCCTTCTCTCCCATAACAAACACTCCAATGATGGGTGGGATTGGATCGCCGCTCACAACAGTGCCGCCAATGTCTCCAATGGTCTCATATATGCCAACAACGCTTCCGCCGCCGCCACCACTGATCTCAAACCCAATGATTAATCCGATGGTTAACGCATACCAAACCACAAACTCTACTCAAACCAATTATACACAAAATACTGATCACATGAACATCAATCACATCAACAATCATAGCATGAATGCAATGGACAACAAACCCATGAATCCGATAAATAGTGAATCAAATATACATAATATGAACAAAAGTTTTACGACAACTGCCACACAATCGCAACAGAGTTTTGCAAACTTTTTTCTCAATCAAAACTTAAAGCAAAGTCCGCCTCCGATGGCCGTTCCCGTCGAGACTCAGACGCAAACCGCGCGTCCCTTCCCGGCGGCTGTGCCTCCGTCGGGCTTTCACTCAACTGCCATACAAAGCGAGCCATTTGTCAATAAAATGGTGAACTCGTCGACGCAATCTTCGTTTCCCACAACGAATCAGAAGTTGTTTGTCTCGACAGCGACGGGAACTACGGCTAAGTCGTCGTCCAATGATCGCCGACGTCGTACGCGATGCAAGAAATGTGATTCATGTCTGAGAGCCGATTGCGGCGAATGTCACTTCTGTAAGGATATGAAGAAGTTTGGCGGACCAGGTATTCAACGTCTTAAATATCATTATCTTATGTGCTTACCATTCATTTATAAGAAGTTTGTGTTTAAATAAAATGTAATTATTTGTAATAATAGGTCGTATGAAACAGTCGTGCATTGCTCGCCAATGTTTGGCACCGGTATTACCCCATACGGCGTGTTGTATGATATGCGGTCGCGACGGGTGGGAGAAGTTGGTGGAGCCGTCCATTACCGATGAGACGGCCTCCTCTCTGATGGAGTGCTCCCAGTGCTGGGAAATTGTTCACCCGTTCTGTTTGAATGAAAAGTTTCCGCAATTCTCATTAACAGATGGTTTGTATTAATTACTTAAAAGTTAATGTTTTGATTGATTTTAACGTTCATTTTCTATGATTGTTAGCCAATATCAACGAGGATTTGCCCAACTCTTGGGAGTGTCCGCGTTGTGTGAAAACCGGTTCCAAAACCAACAATAAATACTCAAAATCCAAATCAAACTCTTCGTCTAACACTTGGACGCCAGTCAAGAAAGAGAGCGTCGGTTGCGGCGATTCTGACGGTCCGCCCGATAAGAAGGTCCGACTCTCGGCTGAAGACTCGCCGCCGAGTACTGATGATGAAGACGATGACAATCGACACCAAAATCCCATTCACAACAATTCACACATTAATCACACAAAGGATGAGATGGGAGACGACACGGACAACAGCAGCAGTTCCAGTCAGTCCACTCAGAAACCATACTCTCTGTTGGCGAGCAGTTCTTCAGCGCACGTGCGTTCGTGCGCTAGATTTCCACTCCTGAGTAAAGGCTTGAAGCAAATGATGCCATCGGTTGCCAATCAGTCGAGTCTTGTGAACAAAAGCAGTCAGTTTGTGGCCAATAATAATAATAACAGTAATAAACCCGAAGTGAAAGGATTGGCGGCTCTTATGAACTGCAAGAAAAAGGGAACCTCAAGGGACAGGCTTTTCAAGAGTTTGAAAAGTTTAAAGAAGTCTTCAGACACCACGAGATTAAACAGCAATTCTTCAGGGGTTGCGAAAAAGTTGAACAAATCTAACGGCTCTTCCATTACTACTTCATCGACGACAACGCAAAGCAGTTGTTCGTCGAACTCGAACTCCTCGGTCTCGAGTCCCTCGTGTGCTCTCTCCAGAAGTATAAGTCCATCGGGTTCTCAATCCATGTCCGCACAAAACAGCTTCTCATCGATTAAACTCGAGATGAATGACAGCAAACGTGATATCAATGACGAGTCCACTGATGACGAAGAGGTTCAGCCGACTGTACAGCAAATCAATGGCAATAAACACCCGAATGGCAACAGTTTTACTCAAGTGTCACAACCTATTCCTCATCGAGAGATCATTAAACCTAAATATGTGGTCAGTATTTATAAGATTAACAAATTTGTGTACTTTTGATGGTTTGATTTGAATCATTGGTTTCATTGAATGACAGGTGAGACCCGCACCACTCGATTGTGATATCTCTGCGTCTGAAGAATCCGAGGAGGAGTCGGAAGAGTCGGACGACGACTCGACTACCGATGCGAACAACAAAAGCAATCGAAAGCAGCGAAACAAAGCCATTCAGAAGTATTTGCGTAAATTCCGGACCAAAGTATCGGACAATTTGTCGCTCGAACGCGATGTTGTGGTTCCGGTTATGGGATACCTCTCGCCAAACGATTTACTTAATTCCATGCGAGTCTGTAAGGCGTGGAACGGTATGTTATTTTAGCGATTATTACTGTATAGTCCGGTTCTAATCTAAGCCATTGTCCGTCAGGTTTTTCAATTGATCCCAAACTGTGGCCAAAGCTGGATCTGAGCCATAAGAAGATCACATCAATAATACTGATCGGAATAGTGAAGAGACAGCCCCGGCATCTGAACCTCTCGTGGACTAACATAAATCGTCGCCAACTGTTTTGGTTGATCTGTCGACTGCCACAACTTCAGACGCTATCACTGGCCGGTTGTTCCGCGTCCACAGTTAAGGCGAGTCCACGTGTTGCTCGAGCTTCGTGTGCGAGAACTCCAGTGATATGACGTTCAGGAGGCGATCCCTTTGCGGGTTGTTGTAGTACTCGCACCACTCCTTCATCGACATCGTGTAGTCGCGCTGCGTCTGGACGTCCATCACATCCAACTGGCGCCGGGAGCCGACGCACTGCTTCACGTCCGACACTGTGAACGTATTGGCGGGTATTTTCATGCCTAACCCTACAGACAATGCCATGGATTCACACAATCAGTACATGTAATGCACGCATAGTGTCAACAACTGATGGCTTCCCAACCCTTCATCTGCTTCACGATAATAGGCTTCTCGAAGCCCTTGTCTTGGATGTAGCGAATGGTGAGCTGATCGCCGGTCATCTCCTGCAGCACATCGTACTTCTGGGGGTCGAAGCGGTCGGACACCAACTTCTGGTCCACGTCGAAGCCGCGGCCCGCGAAGAACAGGTCCTCCTCGTCCTCGCCATCCTCGGTGTACCTGCGCTTCTGGAGGTCCCTCTAAGACATCACCGCAAAACACATCCCAATCAGTACATAACACTCATTCATCTCAACCACTCTTTTATCACATCCCGAGTCATAACTCGTCTTTTCATTGTATTTATGGTTTGTTTTGTGATAAAAAAGTTTTTGAAAACAGTTTTTGCTTTTTGTTAGCATTTTGTTTGAAAACTACAGACCAGTCGCCCCCGTGTGGGCCCCGACGCCTCCTTCTTGGTGTCGGCGCTCATATCTGCCGCCTCACTGTCCACTCCGACCGCGCGGTTAGTCTTACGGCTCAACAAATCACTGATTGTTTTGTCTGCAGACGTGTTGTTATTGTGTTTACAAACCAATTGTCAGACATTTTTGGTGTTTATATGTGTTATTGTCTGTCCACTCCGACCGCGCGGTTAGTCTTACGGCTCAACAAATCACTGATTGTTTTGTCTGCAGACGTGTTGTTATTGTGTTTACAAACCAATTGTCAGACATTTTTGGTGTTTATATGTGTTATTGAATGCCGTCTATAGCTGTCTATAATAACAGTGTCTGTGCTGTCAATGCAATGCAAACCCATATCTCTCTGCACTCCACTCACGCATCCCTTTCACAGCATATGAGATGGCGTTGCGCTCTATTAGGCGTAACTGTTGTACGCATTCACTGCTCGTAAAAGCCGTTACGGCTCACGAAAAAAGGCGCACAACTCGTGTCACAATTGAATCCGCTTTACATAACCCCCTATAAAGTGCCCCCTTTTGGCAATAAAGTTGCATAACCCGGTTGGTGCGACTGTACTTGTGCTTGCTCATAATCTTATGAGC